AGGCCCATGGTAAGAACTCAGGGGTCATCTCATCAACTGCCATCTTCTGCATTATTCATGAGGTGGAAACTTTTGTTTCCTTGTATCTTCTTTGAAAAAAAATACTATTTCCAATCATGTACAGATTTCCCCCAAACTCTAGCTTTGACACACTAGATCAGAACATCCCTGTACTTCCTCTACCGTGCCCTCTGCTGTAATCTCCACTCTTCTGCATGGAGCCTCTTACATCCCACACCTCACAATTAGCCTTTCCTTATATGTTTGGCTTTTCTTCTAAAATGGACTCAAGGCAGATTTCCTCTGGCCCCACAAATGCACACTGAGACCAGAATGGGGTAACCCTGGCTGGCAGAGTAAAGCATGGCAGCTTTGCTTCACTCAGAGTTAGTTCACAAGCAGGGCAAAAAAAAAAAAAAAAAAAAAAAAAAAAAAAAAAAAAGGAAACAGGAAACAAAGTGTTTCTCATTTGTTGGAATGGGAACCAGAGTCAAGGAACACGAAGACTTCCTAGCTCTAAGCCCAAGTCTTTAGAGGCACAGCATCTTCAATTGCGAGAAAAGCAAAACTGAGTGTGGGGTTTATGCAAAATGAGGCGAGGAAGAAGTTTCTAAATGACCGCAAGGTTAATGGCTCTGGTGTGGTGTTTCTGGCAGTGTCCACCTGGGTTACGCCACCTGTCACTACAGCCTGTTTCTGAATGTGTGCACTTAGCTGGCACAATCCACTAAGCCATGTGACTCAATCCTAGACACCTCAGCTCAGATCCCAGGCTATGGCATGTGACAAACTGCTGGGTTTACTGGATGTCTTTCTGTTCTCACATTAATATACTGGGTTAACTACAGAAAACAAAGACAGTATTTTCCTATTGTCACTCCTTGGTCCTTGGCATGTAAATATCAGATTAGTTTATTTTTGGATTATATTGTGCTGGACGTTTTCCTTTAAACATCTTTACATTGATCTGGTGTGAGAGCAGGTCAGTGAGTGGAGGCCAGCGACATGAATTTGTTCTCTCCTGCTGCCCTGTGGGATCGATCCATGGTTCAGACTCAGGTTGTCAGGGATGCTTTAAGTTTCTCTGCTCACTGAGGCATTTTGACAGCCTCATGCTAAAGAATTTTCAGTAGTTTCTGAAATGGTCCTAAATACTTCTGTCACATTGTACCATATATTATTCAAAATGGCACCAACACCTCAGCCTTGACAATTATAGACATGAAAACGATGATTAACTCTGAAATGCCAGAGAAGCTCTAGGACCCACAGTGTCAAACACTTAGCCAAATTTGTTTATTTATTTGACACAGGGCCTTACTATGCAGTCTTGGCTGTCCTGGAACTCGCTCTGTGGACTAGGCTGGCCTCGAACTCAGAGATCTGCCTGCCTCTGTCTGGCTAGCTAAGATTTCTTAGCATAAAGCACTCTGTCTCTCCACAGAGAGTATAAACCTGCTTGTCTGCGACAGATGGTAAATTACATAACAAAGATTTTTGTTTAGTTTGTGTTGTGTGCACGTGTGTGCACATGCCTGTGGAGGTTAAGGGTTAGCCACAGGTGCGTCTTCCCAGGGACACCTTTTTAAAAACAATTTTAAAGTACATGTGCTGTGTCTGTGTGGGTAGGTACATGAGAATGTTGGAGGCCCCAGAGGGGGAGTTCCAGGCAGTTCTGAGCCACCGGAAGTAGGTGCTAGACACCAAATTTGAGTCCTCTGCAAAAGCTGCAAGAACGGCCAAGAGTACCCTGTCCAGCTCCCTCCCCTTGTGTGAAACAGTGTCTCTCTGGGACCTGGGCCTCACACCTCACCAATGCAGCAAGGCAGCGTGGCTCTCCAGCCCCAGCAACTTGTCCTTTTCTCCTCCCAGCACTGGGGTTACAACGGCATATCACCAAGCCCAGCTTTTTAACCTGGGCCCTGGAGATAGGACTTGGGCGGGGCCTTACAGATCCCACAAAGGCATTCGCTGAGCTATCTCTTTAATCTGGAGAATTGCTTTTAAAACCTTTATGATGATCAGTAAGTGTCTGACCTTTTTAAACCTTTATTTATTTTTAGGTTAGATCTTATGTTACTCAGGCTGGTCTCAAACTCAATAGCTGAGGGTAACTTTAAATCCCCGATCCTTACTTAGTGGGATGCACTGAGATGGTGGTGCATGCCTTTAATCTCAGCACTTGGGAGGCAGGGGCAGGTGGATCTCTGAGTTCGAGGCCAGTTTAGTCTTCATAGTGAGTTCCAGGACAGCCAGGGCTACACAGAGAAACCCTGTCTTGAAACACCAAAACCCCAATGTAAACAAAAAACGTCTTGACCCTCCCTGCCTCTACTTCCCGACACCGGACTAAATGTGTCATGTGTATACTGAGTCACATAGATGGATAATGGGGGTCACGTGGAAAGGAGCTGCCAGGGGGAACTGCCCTGCAGCTCTGCTCTAAGGACCACACAGTATGCTTTCCTGCTTCAGAGCAACTTTCAGGGCGTGTCTACTTGTCTGTAGACCTGAGGGTTATCTCTACTGGTCTAAGCCTGGCCTGGGCCTCCATTCCTACCTACTCTGCCACGGCACTTTGACCAGGAGTAGGGCATGTGGAGTGGTCCTCCATGAGGGACATGCATCCACACAACGCTAGGGCAGCCTGAGACTCCAGCAAGAGTGCCTCCTCTGAAGTAATGAATAATGCAGTGCCACCAGACACGGGGACAGAGACGCAAAGCTGTGAGGCAGAGCCAGCACACACCCTGCTGGGCCTCTTGTTCCAAAAACCAGAGTCAGGGAAACCAACTCCTCTCACCCACTCTGGCCCTGCTGGTACAGGTGGTCTTAGGGAGCTCTGAAAACCTAGTCCAATGGAGCTCTGGGCCAACAGCAAGGAAGCCTGAGAACCCCAGAGAACTGTAACAAAACAGATCTTATCTGTGTCGGCATGGCTCCCAAGTCCTTCATAGTGACGCGCACACCTGCATGGATTCCTCTTTTCATTCATTCACAGCCTGTAGCTGTTCTGAACCAGGCTCTTTGAGAATCTCTTCTCTATCCACATTAGAGCATCAAAGCTGTCAGCCTGGCGGCAGATGGACAGGGAGCCAGAGACCGGCTAGCTCTGGTTTCACCGTTCCCAGATGTTTACGAATGTCCAAGAGCACAAAGGCGCCATGGAGACCTCTGCAGGGCTGAAAACAATCCACACACCCTCCCACACAGCACACATTCTATATACATCAAGCCACCAGCTATGAAAATACAGAGACACGCCAGGATGATGGTAGCATAGGCACTCGGGAGACAGATGGAGACAAATCTCTGAGTTCAAAGCCAGCCTGGTTTGCTACACTGAGAAACCTGTCTTGAAAAAAAAAAAAAAAAAAAAAAAAACAAAAAAGAAAAAGGATTAAAAAAAAATACAGAGAGAGAATTCTGCATACAATCTTAGCAGTTCACTTCTAGGGGAACTTCAGGTGAGCAATCCTCAGTTAGTCTCCTGATGCCCAGAAAGACAACAGTCTTCCTAATACCTACATTTTCTCTCCGAACATCCTGCATATGAGTAGTGAGGACAGGGACCAACCCACTCTCCACTGGGGCAAGAAAGGCTACCCAGTATCTTGTGGTAAAGGATGCACCAAGACATCTTCTGAGTCTGCTCCTTGTCCCGATTGGCTGTTGGTGACTCTCTGTGCACAACAGATCCTAAGAGGTGACACATACCCTGGACCCTCAGAATTGGCGGTGTCTGAAAGAGAAAGAGCTCTTGCTAGGGAGGATCTTCTTGCCTACATACCTGCACAAGTCACTGGGTCACTTCAGCAATGTCACGGGGACAAACCCATGCTAGACAGTGTTCCAACTGTGCCCATTTGTGATACAGAGGACTGCTTCCTCAGTATTGAGTTCCTTGCCTGAACAAGATGCTGGTTTCCACCGAACAATGTCTTGGTAGGGGTGACATGAGTGGGGCTCAGGGCATGAAGCTTATGCACAGTACTCGGTACAATGTCAATCTTCAGAACAGAGCTGATTCTTTGTTCATCACACCTAATACATGGTGAAGGAACCAGAGTCCAAAGCAACACATGCTTCATTCCGACTTTGCTCAGTTTATCCTTGGCCTTGGTCGGTCTGACATTTTTTTCCTGAATTGTACATGACAATCAAGAAAAGCCAAAAAATTTCAGACATCCAAACAGCCCAGAGAATACACAGATTTGAGCAAACCAGCCACGCTGGCACGTCAAGGCAACTTCAGAGATGGAGCACAGAGGATTGGAGGGGGCTGGCTCAGTGAGCACAGGATGCCATATTCCAGCAAGTCACAAGATGCCTGAAGAGCAGTGGTGCTTCTAGCTCAGTCCACTCTGGTTTCGGGAACAGCAGCAATTTCCCAGAACCTCACCAGCAAAGGCAGCTTTCCAAGAGTGAGAGCTTCGGTTTGTATCAATAGCGTAAGATCACTTTTGCTGGGAAGTAAACAGATTTCAAACAGGACAAAGTGGCAATCGGGGGTGCTAATGGTGGCAGCTGGGAAGGCAGCCAGAGACGTGGCTTAGGCAATAGCACAGGCTTGCCAGGCAGCGGATAACTGTCCATTCCTAATTATCCAGCCCAGGAGGAAGCAGATATTGGTCGGTGTATGCTCTGACCCAACATTTATCCTGATGCCTGCTGTGTGGTGGGCACCAAGCCAAGGGCTGGCTTCTTACAAACTCTGTAATGTTGAAAGTCCTGGAAGCCAGCACCACAGACTTTTCAGATGAGACAGGAGAGAAGTATGTGACTAACACAGGTTTGTTAGCCACCACTAGATTAAGCTGCCTTGTCTGGCTCAAGAAAGGCCTGCACAGGAGCTGATGGCTACAAGGGTGCAGGCTCCTTAGGAGTATATAGCACGTTAACTGTCATGAACGGGATGAGCTTTAAAGACAGGTCCAGGATTCGACATCATCTTTTGTCTTGTAGTTCAGAATTCTTTAAAAAATGCCACAACAGGGATACAAATTTTCAAAATACTTTATTGACTCAGGAGCCAAACGGCAGCATTTGGTCAGTTATGAAGGCACCTCATTGAAAAATACATCACAGTGTTGTTGGGTGATCCCGGTCAAAGGATTTGAGGACGAGAAGGATAATCTTTGGATGCTTTAGCTTAAGACAGTTTAAGTTTTGTTTCCTCATTCATTGTTGAGGACTGAACCCAGCAGGACCTTGTAATGCTAGGCACACACATGCCATTGAACTACATTCCTAGGCCTTGTTCACTTACTGAAAAGGGTCCCATGGATGAACAGAGGCAAAGTTGTAAGGACTAGTGTGTGCTGGGTGGCTGCTGAAGGTTTGCAGGTGACTGTAAGTGATAGGAAGTGTGGGATCTGTGTCCCCTTGCTCCCCCCAATTCCAGTAAAAATGATTTACTGGACCCCAATGAGGTCACATCCCCACCTCCTCTATACTTGCAGATGGCGTGGGAGCCACAGGCCACAGCCCACCCCACCCCCAGCACCCACACAGGATACATAGGCCCAGTTGACGGCTGCATTCTTGGTCTGGTGATCCATGAGCTTCTGAGCAGCTGAGGTCTCTTGGAGCATTAGCTTTGTGGTCCAGAGTAAATGGAAGCTTGATTGCTTAAAAAATACCGTAGCTCTTCATTCGCACCAATGCCCTCCAATCACAGTTTTTAAAAAATTAATTGTTCCCCTTGCTTATAGTTTACAAATTCCCATCCATGCGCAAAAAACAAAAAAAACCCCTTTCTAATTATAACACTGCCACTGTTCCAAATGCTTGTCTTGAGCCCCTCACACTTCCCTCACCATCCTTCCTTCCCGTGACCACCCTTTTCCCTTCTGCCCAGCACCTAAGAGCAGGTATCACGCGGCGGGGAGATGAGCAGGGTGTAGTCTCGCCTGGCCTTCTTTTACTAAGCTGAAATAGAGAGGAAACAAGAAAGAACAAAAAAATTTTTTTAAAAAAAACAAAAACGAGTAAATATCAGGGAAGGCTGGCATGCAACCAAACACATTAAACACTGGACATTTCTCTGCCAGGTGAAAGCTCTCATGCCCGTCGAGGTTACAAGTCTGCAATCAAACAAAGCAAAAATACAATCCCGACCACCTATGGTTTTCCAGCTCTTACCCAGAGCCCGGATGTTACAGGTATTAGGTGTATGTGCACACTTGAATATGTATTATATATATATATATATATATATACACACACACACACACACACATATATATATATATGTGGACAGGTGGCAGATGTCCGTGCACAGATCACATTCAACTAGCAACCACTCAGGTGCCTGCACTTAGAAACAAGTGCCTGCAGCTACTGTCAGGGAAATCCACCCTCATTCTGAGAAAGATCTCATATTCTTGCAGGCCCAGCTGGTAGTTTTGCTTTCACTCCTCTCCCTTGCCCATTCCCAGCAGTCATGTGCTTTCCAGAAACACACAGGGCCAGACTGGGTTTCTGTTAAGAGCAGATAGAATTAATTTAAAGCCGAGGAAACAAGGCAGGGCAGCGGCAGCAGACACTTAGAGGTTAAAAGGAAAGCAAGATAGCCACGTACCCATGGAGTTTCCATGTGGAGAGTGGGCAGGCCTTCTAACAGACAGGAGAGCTCAGGCCAGACGGGGACCAAGGACATTAGAGCCAGCAGGTTACACGGAGGCAAGCACCATTATTTACTGGTCATGTTGCTAACTTTCTAATGGCTGTTCCCGAGACTGAAGGCTTTGAGGTCTTGTCACAGCAGCCTATTAATCTATCTGTCACAAATCATCCAGAGACCAAAAGGCACAGCACAAACCACAGGTCATTTGTAATAGTGGGAGCTAAGGTTACCAATAAAAGTTTGTTTTGATCACAGGTGGTCTTGTTTTTGAGAGATCTTTTCTTGAGGAGTCTGTGGCTAACCATCATGGAATATGGAGTAAAGGGTTACATTGAAAGGGACATATTTGATTTAGGTTTTACATACGGTGTTTGAATAATTTTTTTTTTTTTTTAATGGGAATGAATCCAAAAAGAGATTATCAACTAGTCACTGGTTCATCCCTAGAAACAGGCAAACAAAACCAAACCTACCTAACTGGATCTATATCTGGGGAAGTACATTTGGCTGCTCTGAGTTACTTGGCCCTAAAGTTCAAATCTACCTGGCTTAATTCTTTGATGACAACTCATTGTTTAGATGGAAATCCCAAATGGTCTCAACTTTACAGCACTGTGATGTGGGTCACAAAAATACTCCAACTGTGCAAATCTATCCTAGTAACTGCCCCAACCCCAGGTTTGTCTTTAAAATTCCATTCAAAGGGAAAAAATTACTGATCCCTTTGCACTCACTGACTTGTGGCTGTTGTTTCCCGTCAAGAAATGTGTTTCAGGAGCTGTGACACTAACTGACTTCACGTGACTTTAGACTTGGAACCAGCTGCTTGTTAAGGTTAAGTACTATGAGGCTTTGCACCTGGGGTGCCTGACAGATAAATACTTAACAGCTTATTTTGGCCAAAAAAAAAAAAAAAAAAAAAAAAAAGGAAGAGTGTGTGTGTATGTGTGTGTGTGTAGGGGGAGTTGCATCATAGGAAGGGGGATTACAGGGCATGAGGGGGAACAAAAATCTACTACAGCACACCTTTCGAGCCTCTAATCCCAACACTCAGGAGGCAAAGACAGGCAGAGCTCTGAGTTTTCAGCCAATCTGGCCAATATAGTGATTTCCAGGACAGCTGGAGATACATAGAGACCGTCTCAAAAAAAAAAAAAAAAGAAAAAAAAGCCATAATGATATCTAATACTGTGTGTGCTAATTTTTAAAAATGATAAATAGAAAAGTATGGGTAAGAAAAGTAGACAGCTGGTAAAACAACAGAAGATACAGAATGTAAGAATGAGCACATACTCCGCCAAACACATACAGATGAGCGCTGCACATACATGAGATACATCCAATAAGTGCTTTTTAATCAGTACTTTAGAAGATACCCTCACTGCCTGAGGGAGGAACTGTCCCAGCCTCCTGTGCTGTGCCCACCCATTCCTTTAACAGGGACAGAAAGAAGAAATTCCTTTTAGAACCCAACATTAGATAAACATAACCAGGTCTTTACATGTGGCTTTGGAGAAGGCTGCTAGGATGCTCGCAAACACGACATCAGGGGTCTGGCATGCATCTATGGCAGAGTGAATCCCCCGTTTCCTGTAGTACTCCACGAGAGGGGTGGTCTGCGTGTGGTAGGCCTCCAGGCGGATCTTCAAGGCCTTCTCGTTGTCATCTGATCTTCGGATCAGGGGCTCTCCAGTGATCTGAGAGGGAAAAGGAGGGGACAATGCGACTGTCATGAGAGCTGGACACTTTGCTGGGATGCTGGCTGATCTCACAGCCCATTCGAGCAGGAGGCCCAGAAGCAGTGATGTGTTTTGCTTGTTATCCTGTGCTCAGGCTACTCAACTTTTAACACAAGCCCTTCTAGACTTGGAAGGAGAGAGAGGCCCCAGAGACTGCGAGAGTGCATCCCAATCAACTGCATTAGCAGCTGCAGTCTTAGCTGCTTAATTAGTGAGCATCACCCATTAACACCGTAAAAGCAGCAAGTAAAGTGAGAAAGGACTCCCGTAAAATTGTCAACTGTCTGAGCTGTGGACCCCGGACGACCCGTATGTACTTGTCTCACATGACAAGGGAAGCCCAGGAAATTTGCCCCTGTTGCTTGCATGCTCTACAAAGATCATTAAGACTCTCTGACCATGGATGAGACCCCAGGGCAGAAGTCAGTGGGTACCAATGAGCAGGGTATTTTGGAACACAATGGTCAGCAAAGCTCTCTTCAGTGACACCTCCTGGCAACATTCTCCCAACAAGACAACTGCTTAGCTGGCCATGGTGTCAGGAAGGGGCTGCTGTGACAGAGGATAAGCATAAAGCCACATGGAGACACTGTCCAGATCTGTCACCAGCCATCTCATTTACAAACAAGACAGTGATATGTTTTTCTGGTTAAGTGATGAAAGAAGGAGGAAGGAAAAACAAACATACATCATCTTTCATGGGCTCCTTTGGAGGGTTGAACTCCTCATGGTAGGACCGGCCACTACTGGGGTGAATCAACCTGCAAGATAGCAAGTGATTGTGAGTCAGATTGCCTGGAAATAGCTCTGTATTCCAGGGGACTCTGGAATAACAAGCAGAGGCAGAGAAGTAGAATGGAAGACTTAAATCAGCAGAGAACCCAGCTAGCACCTCATGCCTAGGAAAATAACTGGCTTTTCTAGCAGAGGACCAGCTATTGTTACCTCTTGTTTAGGAAAATAACTACGTCAATTACCCTGCCTATGGCAGAGGGTGTTTCCTGCTTTGCCCAAGTGTAAAGAAAGCAGCTGGCAGACTGCCTAGTCCAGGCCTTAGGAGGGAGGACTCTGATGTTCAGCGCACAGTCACCCATTCTATTCATACCTATTTTCTAAAGCAGTTCCTAGCTGAAACCAGATCTTATGCTGAACCCAGCTGGCTACAAAGCGGTGGGTCACAATCTCTGCTACAAGCAGCACTTAGCAGAAATCGACAGCTCCAACAAGTGGGACAAGATTTGGGGAACAGAAGATAGAAATTAACCCTGGTGTTTTCTGCTTTTTGGTTTTTTTAAAAGACAGGTCTTGGCATGTAGCCTATGCTGGACTTGAGCTTAAGCTACTCTGTACCTCCCCCAAATGTCTTAGATCACAAACATGCGCCTGCTTGTACTGTTTTCTAATTCAATTTGGTTAAAAAGTAAACACATGAAAACATATTGTGGATAAGCAGACGATGATGCACACCTCTGTGACCACACAAATGACAGCGTGACAAGGCCAAGCCACTAGGAGAAGAGACATATTAAGCCAATCATGAAGATGGACACTGCAGTGTGTGTTGGTGTTTCAGCTACCAGGGAAGCTAAGCTGGAGGAGCTGCTTACTAGGCCCAGGATTTTGAGATCGCTTTAGGCAACACAATCAGACTCTGTCTTAAAACAAAGAAGCTGGGTGTGGTGGTTTAGGTCTGTAATCCCAGAACTTGAGGAAGCTGAGGTGAGAAGATTCCCATAGTTCAAGGCCAGCCTGGGCTACAAAAATCAAAGGCCAATCAACAAACAAGACAAAGTAAAAGAAAAACAAAGGCAGGTGGGAGGGCAGGCTTATTAGCATTACCTACTAAGCCTGATGGCTGGGGCACAATCCCGGGAACCATATGGTAGAGAGAACTGACTCTTTTGGTCTCTGCCTGTGAGCTGTAGCATGCATGTACATACCTCAAGACACACCATTAAGAAAATACAACATACACAGGGCAGGAGAGATGGCTCAGTAGTTAGCAGTGATTTCTGCTCTTGTAGAGGACTTGTAGAGGACTAGAACTCAGGGTGACCCACTATAACCTCTGCCTCCTGGGAGCAGGGATTAAAGGTGTGCAGCGACACCACGCCTGACAGGTAGTACTGTCTTTATTTCCCCCTCTATTTAACTGATACCTGTCTCCTCTGAAAGTCTGTCCAATCAGATCACCATTTTGGCTTTTGGTGTGCCTTTTCTTTCTATGGGAGCAATGACTCTTCTAGGCCTTACCATTGCTCAGAGGTTAGAAAAATCATAATTTGCCTACCACATGGGAGATTCTATTTATACTATTGAAGTCCTTTCCTACTGGAGACAAGACCCATTTACAGTATATAAGGTGGTAAGTGCTAATGGCAAGGTAACAGCACAGAAAATCAGTTATAGTGAAGAATGAGTAGGCTCGTGATGGCAACTACTTATGGAGAAGTTGTGTCCTCCATTATTTGAGCCCTGAAAGGCTTTCTCTATCGTATCTATTCAGAAACAGCATCCAGTAGGAGGCTCAGAGAGGGAGAACACCAGCGACCTGCTTAGCCTCAGCACCTCTGGAAAGGACTAAGCACAAAAAAAAAAAAAAAAAAAAAAAAAAAAAAAAAGACCACTGGCATTTCTTTATCTTCTGGAGAACAGGGAGCATCTAACATTAAAAGCAAGAAATGCAACTCTCTCCTCTCCCTATCCCTATGCTGCCACTCAAAAACACCCAGATACCCTCAGCCCTCAGATTATACACAACATGCTATTCTTTACCATTCAGAAACATTGTTTATAAGAACACAAGGCATATACCTCTGAAGAAAACCAAAGAGGCAAATGAAAGAAAGCCTGATCTCCAAGTTCTCAAGACAGGTGGGACTAGATAAGGGACAGCCAAAACAGCCCCAGGAGCCGCTAAGCCTGGTGGGCAGTGATTAGGACTAGGTTCTACACCACTGCCATCTGTAGCATGACACTTTAGATCATAGCTCTCAACCCTCCTAATGCTGTGACCCTTTAATATTTGTTGCTACTTCACAATTTTGCTACTGTTATGAATTGTAATATAAGTATCTATCTGTTTTCTGTTAGTCTTAGGCAACCCATGTGAAACAGTTGTTCTACCTGAGACCCACAGGTTGAGAACTGCTGTTTTAGACCATTGTTTTCTCATCCACAAAAGGGAGATGCTATTGGACTCTGGGAAGTGACACCAGGGAGCTAACTGGTAAGATAATTAGCATTCCAGGAAACATGACAAAGAATTCAGACCATTATGAACAAATAATCAAGAAACAAAATAGGCTACTCATTAGAACTGAGGTCACAGCTAGTTCAAGATAGTTATGGTGAGATCCATAAGTTCCCAGTTCCTGCCTTACCCTCTTCTACCCATCAGGAAGGCAAAGTAGGAGGCAGGAAGCAAGTTTCAGGGACTAGTCCCACCACACACCTGCTGAGTGAACTTGGAAAAACTCCTCACTCACCGGCATAGCCTGTGAGGTACAGGGTCTTCTAAGGGAGGAGCCACACTAAACTAAATCATTTCTAAATGGATAGGTCTCTCCCTCCCGTCTTCCCTCTACTGTCACCCTGAAACCTGTCCTTAGATTCTCACCCTGTTCCCTAGCCAGTCAGAAGTCTCTGTCATTTCAGTGAATGTGAGCAAGCTCCCAGATGGGGCCCTGATCTGCCACCCACCCCTAACATACAGTGAGCACCAAGGTAATGTTTTTAGAATGCAGTTTTTGCACTAATACCCAGTGGCTCCAGATCATGTGATGACTCCTAACCCGTGTCAAGCCCACTCTGCAGATCTCCCTGAGCCCATCCTTTCGTCCCAACTTCACTCATTTTGCCCCTGCAGCTTCCAAAGCATAGCTCCTACTGTGGGTCAAAGTCTACCATAGGCTCCAGCCTGAGCCCCTCTCCTAACCAACACTCATTCTACCCCATGTTGATGGCATACCTCTCCTAGGCAGCCCTTTCATCTATCCCCAGGCTCTCTTTTTCCTAACACACTGAATGGTCAGAACCATCCAAATTTCAGACACGACTCTTTGAGATCAAAGCAGATGCCACTGTACTATTCTTCCAGAGCTTGTCATAGCCTTCAGCCCTGGGGTGTGGTTTGATGTAGGAGCAGGTACCCAGGATGCTGACCTCATCAAGTTAAAGACCTCCAGCGTTATTGCCTGCTTTGTACCTCAAGGATACCAAGCCTAGGGATGTTCCTTACTGTCAATTCTACTGCTTCTTGGTCTGCATCAATTTTGTTTACTTCATGTCTGAAGAGACTGTAAAGAAACACACGTCTCTGTTGTGGGGAAGCCTATGAAATCGCTGGAAACATCAAAAAAAAAAAAAAAAGGTAAATTTGAAAAGAAATTAATGTAAAGTAGGTTTGAATGTACCCTTCAGAGACTTACAGGATACCACATCTCACACTCTTATCTATTCATTTTCTTCCTGATTAAATACAAAATTTACATGCCCTTTTAACAGTGGCAGCATCAACTAATTGCATTCCAAGAAGGGAACAATGAAGAATGATTTATGGAATTCTGTGAGGTACCACACAACAGCCCAAACTAATGATCACAAATGCCCCAAACAGCAGGCTTCCAAAACAACCTTCCAGAGTGTCATGAAAATGACAAAGACATATACAGCTACATTCCTTACAGGCAATTCAGTATGCCAGATTCCTTTACCAGCCTCCAAGGGTGCACCCAGCCCCTTATTATTGGGCTGCCACCGAGGCTTTCACAATTGGGGAGTGGTGCTCCTGTCTTTGTTCTCCATGAGGCCCCCAATCTAGGCTCTCAACAGGGTGGCTTTGAAGAGCCCCAGGGTCCACACTGATCAAGCCATCAAGAACATCTATGCTTGGCTGCAGAATAAGAAACATATAGCTGAGGCCCAGGACAGGGTCAAGTTCAAGTTCCCTGGCCACCAAAAGATCTACATCTCAAAGTAGGCCTTTACCAAATTTAATTGCAGTGAATTAGATGGTACGAGAGCTGAGAAGCAGCCTACCACTGATGACTGCACCCTGGACAAGCAGCAGGGCCTGCGCCCATGGGAACTTCAACTGTGCTGTAGCATGCTCTAATGATGCTCTTCAATAAGTCCCCTCCCTCCAGACTCAATAAAGAAAGTTACAAGGGTTCTTGTAGTGGTGCTGGCGGACACGAAGCAGATACAGAGAAACGAAGCAGAGAGAAACCACAGACCAAAGCAGTGAGGATTTCTTAACAAACCTGCTCACTTGACACTATTTAGGAAAAATAAATAAGAAAACAAGCTGTACTTGTACTACGAATCAAATTTCTTTCATTAAAAAAGGGAGGGGGGGCAGAGAGGCTGAAAGATGGCTGGTCCAGTGGTTATGAGAACAGGATGCTCTTCCAGAGGACCGGGGTGCATTTCCCAGCAACCATAAAGCAGCTTACAACTGTCTATAACTCCATCCCAGGAGAATCAGATGCCCTCTTCTGAACTCCAAAGGCACCAGGCAAGCAAGCAATGCATACATTAAAAAAAAAAAACAAAAAACAAAAAACAAAAAACAAAACAGGTGGGGTGGTGGTGATGTCATATGCCTTTAATTCCAGCACTTGGGAGGCAAAGGCAGGTGGATCTCCGTGAGTTAGAGGCCAGCCTGCTTTACAAAGCTAGTTCCAGGACAGCCAGGGCCATTACACAGATAAAACCTGTCTCATAAACAAACAAAAGGCAAAGAAAAAGGGAGAGGAGGGCTGGAGAGATGGCTCAGTGGTTAAGAGCACTGGCTGCTCTTCAAGGACATGAGTTCGATTCTTAGCACCCACATGGTGGCTCGCAACCATCTGTAACTCCAAAGGTCAGAGAAGACAGGAACAAAATAGTATTTTCTGGGCACAGTAAGAACCATTATATTCCTGAACTCACAGCACAAGACCAGCATTAGATCAACTAGTCAACATTCTAGCAGGGAGCCCTACTCCTAACCGAGGAGCTATGAAAGTCTGTTTCTTTAAGGGTATGGTCCCTGGTAGGCTAACCCTCCTCCAGTGGATGACCCCATATCCATAAATAGATGAGCAACACAAATTGGACTTGGTGGGTCATTATTAAAAGGGGAAGAAGGTTTATAAGGCAAGGCGGGTGTATCTGGGAGGAATGGGATTATTTATGATCAAGATATATTGTATGAAATTCACAAAGAATTCATTAAAAACATAATACTAAACAATAATAAAAACAAAAAGCAATATGCCTAGACCAGAGATGTTGTCCGACTCTGAATCCTTTGCTCTTGTCTCCATGTCCCCACCCTACTACGTCAGTGGACATTGACATACAAGATGGAAACATCTTAAATGGCACCAAGTTTCTGCCCCACACAGCTCTGATGAAGCATGCAGGCTGGCTCTTGGGACACCTACCTTCCAGTGATCCTCCGGATCAGCAGGGAGTCTGGAATGCTGAACTCAATCACCGAATCAAGCTTCTCTCTCCTCTTCTCCATGAGGTCATCAAGCTGCAAAAGAGTGTGGGACCCACCTAAGCTCAATCAGCCTTCTGATTACCAAGCTTGATCGCTGCCTTCAATGTAATTCATAGAAAAGGCCAGCACTTGCCTTCATGCAGCAGCGACACAAACACCACCTACCATTTCAGCCTGCCTCACAGTCCGAGGGAAGCCATCTAGAAGAAAGCCATTTTTGCATGAAGGACTCTCCAAATTCTTCTCAATGAGCTCCACAACCATTTCATCACTCACCTACAAGAAAAGAACCTTGGGTTCAAATCTGTCAACTAGGTTATATATCCCAAATACTAGCTCAAGAGTCCACGTATATATGACCTGATTTCTAAACAGCAAGTCAGCCTGACTCCAGGAAAGCAAAAGCAGAGTAAATGTGGGGTACCTCCATTAGGGTTTGGATCTTAAATGTACCCCCTTGAAATCCATGTATTGAAGAGCTGATCTCCCAAACCATATTTTAAACTTTATTTCAACATGTGTGTACATGGGAGGGAGGGCACATGTACCATGGTATGTGCTTGGAGCCCCCACTTCCCTTCTACCTTTACTTGGGCTCAGCACTGAACTTTAGGTTCAGACATGAGCGGAGCACTTTTACCTCTTAGCCACCCTCCTTTAGTAAGTATATACTCTTGTCCTCTCTCTGTCTCTCTCTGCCTCTGTAAGGTGCAGGCTCAGTCATTCTGACACCAAGCAACTCTGGACTGCAACTGAGCTAAGAGAGTATTTCCTTCTTTAGTTGGTTTCTCTTAGGGATTTATCACTTTATCACAGTGATGCAAAGCTGACCAGTGGTAACACTCACTTCCATAAGTCTCCAGGGGTCAGATATGCCCCTCTCCTTGAAACTCTAATATGTTTCAATAAACTGGGTAAAGGAAGAGAGATCTATAGCCTGTTGCCCCAGCAGGGCAGCTCCATGTCTTAGGCCCTATGGGCCACTTCTGCCAGTAGCTGATTAACCATCACATAACAGCTTATCAGCAACATGCTGTCCTTGAGACGATGAGGGTCCATGGCAGAGACATCACCTGAGAACTGGGGTAGTAGTTTGACTAGAATGTAGGGATGTACTAATAATCCCTGACTCACAAGTTCATTAGACTAACAATATGGATTGATCTGTCAGCTTGATTTTTTTTATTCGGGCTATCTAAGACATGAAACAGAATTGCACCGAATTGGCAATATTGGATCAGAAACAATGAACCAAAAAAACCACCACAAGGTAGTCTCAGCCCCTCCAAAAAGATCCCACCAAAAATCTCTCCCAGCATTAAAAACCTTTCCTTTAAAGAGAGAAAAGTTCCCACCTGTATTATAGTAAAGGCTGTCTCTCTTGGCAGCTAAAGCTTTTATCTTTAGAACCAGCTATGAACTTAGGGACAAAGTATAAACTCTGCAACTGATTGAAGGTTTGGAGATAAGCAATCTTATTGCCACATCCCAATTTTCTCTCACACAGAATTTTCTGCCAAAACCCAAAGTCCAAGATATCTATCGTTCTGGCTTGATTCATGGCCTCACTGACGTAAAGGGAAAGCCAGAGAGCACTGTGTGGACAGACAGGCTTGGTACCACCCAACACTGCTCTAGTATCTCCAGGCCTAACATGAGCTAACTTGGGGATAAAAACAAAGTTCAGATTTCAGCCAAGCAACAGAGACAGACACAGGGACCAGAGAAAATAGTTGTGGTTGTCCATGCCTATAATCTCAACACTTGGGAGGCCAGCCTGGGACACCTGTAAGAGCCAGGCCAACCAGATAAACATGGTGAAACTTGCTTCAAAACAAAACAGGAGTGATGAGAAGGTTCAGTGGGTAGCAGGGCTTGCCACCAAAGCCTGGCAACCTGGCTAGAACTCAAGACCCCCGGCACTCAGGAGGCAGAGGCAGGCAGATCTCTGTGAGTTCTGGTCTACAGAGAGAGTGCCAGGACAGCTTCCAAAACAATATAGAGAAGAAACCCTGTCTCAAAAATCAAAACAAAACAAAACAAAAAAACCCTCAGGACCCAGATGATGGAAGAAGAGAGCTGATTTCCAAAGTTGTCTTCTGACCTCCACATGAATGCTGTAGCAAGCAAATGTACATATTGACAGTGCATAATTTAGAAAATTAAAAACAAGAACAAAAAAACAAAGGGCCAGAGTAACTGCAATGTGGCTCACAGGTCCAGCACTTGCCTACTGTGTTCAAGAACAAAATGACTTCTGAAGGTATTAACAGAACTCAGGTTCTAGAATAAATGTTAGAGGCAAGAAAGATCTGGCCCTAAGGAAAGGTTCAGTCAATTCACTGTATTAGTCAAATCAAGCCAACTGTTTCATTACATAGGATTACTTTTCCACAACTACCAAGTAACTCCCTTGTTAGAAATAAATGCAGAGGACTGGGCTAAAGAAATGGCTCAGTGGTTAAAAGCTAGGCTCACAACCAAAATAAGAAATACAGAGTAAGTGAGCCACAAAAGAGCTTTAAAAACATTCCTACGATCTCCCAAATCATCTTTTGCATACACCCCAGAGTCTTGTCCTGGGAACAACACTTTCATTTTGTTATATTTAGTTTGGGTGAATTACAAAAAGTATTATAAAGTATCTTCAAGAATGAACACATAAGAGGGGCTGGAGGAAGAAAGGGAATGGGGAGTCACACAGTCACACACACACACACACACACACACACACACACACACACACACACACACACAGTGCACATATATTGTTTGTTTCTTTGTTTTGAGAGGTCTTACTGTATAGCCCTGGCTGACCTGAAACTCAAATTCAGACACCTGCCTGCTTGCTTCTCAGCAATGGGATTAAAGGTGTGTTCGTCTGGCTGATGTTTGTGCAAACACCATCCCCTACACACACCCTGAAATTTAAAAAAATGTGTTACTTTATGTTTTATGTTTATGCATGTTTTATTTACATGTATGTTTGTGCACCATGTGTATACCCGGTGCCTGCTGAGGCCAGAAGAGGGTACTGGATCTCAGAGAACTGGAGTTACAGACAGTTGTGAGCTACTATGTGCGTGTTGGTAATCAAACGTAGCTCCCCTGAAAGAGCACTATGTGCTCTTAACTACCGAGCCATCTTTCCAATCCTTATAATTCCATTTTAATTAAAAAAAAAAAAAGAAAGAAAGAAAAAAGAATACCACGAACAGGACTAGCAAGATGGCTTTATGAGAAAAGTCCTTGCCCATATGCACAAAATAATAAAATTACACATATAAATGGTGAAGAAACAATATATCCAGAATAAACCAAATAATGTGCTCTGTTAAAAGCTCCCATTAACTGCCAGTCTACTAGAAACATCTCTACACAGGACTACCTCAAATGACTTTCTATGATAGTGGAAATGTCCTGTGTTTGCATTAGCTGGTGAAGGTGTGTCTGTGATGGATAAGGAAGTAAATGTTTAATGAAGTCAAAACCAAGTAGCCACATGCAGCTGGGGGTCACGGGTATGACCAAACCTACCAGTTTCCCAGCATCCATCGTCGCCTTCAGCTTTTTTCCCAGCTCAGAACCTGAAGCTACCATGGCTCTCAGCATGTCCCCAGTGGCCAAATGGCAGACACAGAAGTTTTCAGCCAATCTGGGTGCCTGTGGAGTCAAAGACAAAAACCAAGAAAGAATTAACACCGTATGCTCTGTGTATGAGCATGACCCTGGTCCTGGTCCTTACTGGCCGTGTGAACTTACCCAAATGCCTACTTCTTTGTTTGTAACAGGAATGCATCTTACCTTATATTCTAATGTAAAGCAATGATAGGGCTATTGTAAGAATTGTATGACTACATGATATTGCATGTAAAGTACTTAGAATACACTTAGCACTGAGGAAGCTATTATAAACACTAGCTATTCCAACTAACTATACCACTGAAACACAAGGTCGCATTCCCTGTTGCAATACTTCACATAGTTTCTAGAACACTAAATGAGCTCATTTTATAAGTCAGACAGACCAAGGCCTGGCACACAATGTGCTGAGTATCTACCACAGGGTGAAATTGGTATGCTGTGGCCACTAGGCCTGGCAGCTGGGGCAGGCAAGGCAGACCTGCTGCAGTATCTTGGCTAAAATGTCCACTCACAGACCCAGAGCAATTTCCACATCTGTTTAACGTAAGGAACACAGCCTACTCAGAAAGTGGCTGTGGTGCGTAATGAGTTATGCAGGCACACAGGTAGGACATTTCTACAGTAGTCACCTGGAGATCAGTTTTAGGGGGTGTTCTGGTTGGTTTTGTGACAGGGTATGCAGCTCATGATCTTGATCCCCATCCTCCTGAGGGGCTGGGATTACAGCAGGCATCTGCCCCCGCTGGCTCAACTTTTGGCTATGAGTGTGGATAGGCTCAAGTCAATCCCCCACTACCTCAATCCTTACTATATGGCTTGAGGAGCTACTTCTCCTTTCTAGGTTTGAAATCTCTAAGTAAACAGAGAGGGCAATAACACCATCTCACTGAGCCCAAAAGGACTAGACAGAACTGGCACATACAAAGCTCAGCACGAAGACCCTCAGTGAGCACTAGCTGTTTTAGCAACCTCTCCCAGCTGTTTTCTCAGATGGAAAAGAAATATTCCCTCATGCCTCTTCCATGAACCCTGGAGGCAATGAAACGGAGGAATAGATCCCAAAGCTCAGATCGTGCTGGAATAGACATAGCTCAGTAATTGGGCACACCCAAGGTCCCCTATCATCACACACATTTAGCTTTTCCCACAACGACATCAAACAAATGGGCACCTCAGAGTCTGGTGGACTTTAAGTGGAAAAAGGTACGGATATTCCAATATCCATTCTGTATTCACAGATGCTCAGCTTTCTGTTGAGTTGTTGGAAAAGATAAGTAACTGGGATCCCTGTTTAAACTAGTTCATTGGGTGTGCTCTTGGGCACAAAACAAAATTCAATGGGGCTCCATGCAGGAAAATCTGGTTTGTGATTCACAGACTGATTCCATTGAGGTGAAGAAATCACTCCATAGGGAGGTGGAACCCAGTGAGAAAGTGTTAAGGACTGGACACTGGAAAAATGAAGGTCAGCAACCAATGACAATGGAAAGCAAGCTGCACTGTGAACATACCCCCAGGGAACAGAGCTTTCTACCAATCTATCAAAACAAGCTGGGTGGAGTGCTCCATGCTAATAAGCCCAGTCAGCACTGGGGAGGCTGAGACAGACAGATGCCTAAACTCACTGGCCAGCTAGTCTACCCGATGAGCTTCAAGCCAGTGAGAGATCCTGCCTTAAAAAAAAAAAATTATGGGTCCACTGAGTCATCTCCCAGCCCAGAAACTATTACAGGAAATTTACTTTAGCCATGCCAACATAAATCATGTCATATGGAATTATACAGGTAGCAAACATCACTGAGCAGGCCCTAGGCATGACCAGGTCAGGAGTGTAGTCAGCTGCTAACAGGGACCAGGCAGTCTAAGCAGTGAAGGGGGTTGGGGAGGGAGCTGTCCACGAAGGGGTCACCCTGAGCAGAAATGTAGCCAGCTACAAGTGTCTCTTGCCATACTGGAACATAGAGGCCCACTGCTGTCCGATCTTCTGATTTTCACCAGAAAAATGAGTTGTAACTGTTTTTTAAATTCCACAACTGAAAACATTCCACAGTCAACCTATTACTTAGAAAGCTGTCAAAATTGGTAACAAACCAAGCATTTAAATGCACTTCATAAACCTACATCACTGGGTGAGCAAATGGGATGGAAAGTTTTTCTCTACAGGCCTACAAGCTAAGCACCAGCTGTGGTGCAAACTTGGAATCTCACACTTCTGCTGAAGCAGGGATGCTGTTGAGTTTCAGGCCAGCCTGGGCTACCTGCTAAGAGCCTGTCTTAAAAAAAAAAAAAAAAGAGGGAGGGAGTGCAGGGAGGAGAGAAGAAAAGAGATATTTCAGCCAAGGAATGAGAAAGGAGTTACATAATCAGAATGATACTGTTTTACCACTCATAATTAATTACTAGACTTAGGCAACTGACAGCAACTGCTGCAAACCTGTCAGAGACAAACAATATTGAAGCATCTGATAAATTGGATGCAGCAAACTAAATATCTGCAGGAAATGGAAGAGAGGAGGATGTTAAACACACCAGAGGAATATGAATTGAAAACTCCTAGAAAAGGGAAAATATTCTTGGGACAAGCTAGTTTTTTCCACACATAAGGGTGGAAAACAATAGCATTAAAACAAAAACAAAAACAAAAACAAAAAAAAAAAAAAAAAAAAAAGAAAGAAAGAAAGAAAGAAAGAAAAATGAAGGAACAAGCAGGGTGTTGGTGGCACACACCTTTAGTCCCAGCATCCAGGAGTCAGAGGCAGGCGAATCTCTGTGAGGAGTCCAGCCTGGTCTACAGAATTAGTTCCAGGACAGGCTCCAAAGCAATACAGAGAAACCCTGTCTCAGGGTGGGGGTGGGGGAGAAGAGAAACAGCAAGATGGCTTAGTAGGTAAACACACCAAGCCTGATGACTTGAGTTAAATTCCAGGGACCTATATGGTAGAAGGAGACAAATGATTCTGAAAGCTGTCCTCTGACCCCCTACACACGAGTACTCATGCATGCATACACCCTCTCACACATGCTGGATAATCTTTTTTTAAAAGACTGGGGAAAAAAAAAAAAAGAGTTAAAATGATCACATGTGTGAGACTGATAGAAATTTGAACATTAACTATTGAAATCTGTTAAATCTTTAGTAGGGGATATTGTACTTAATGTGTTTTTAAATTTTGTTTTAGAGATACTAAAATATACTAAAAAAAATGTTATTGTGTCTACAGCTGCTTTATCATAATTTGCAGGGAGGCAATGGCCGCCATCAGCTGATCGTTACTGGGGCTCATTACATCACTCTTTTGCTTCTTTTGGTGGTCCTGAGGAGTGAACTCAAGACCTTACACAGCTAAGTAAATGAACTACCAGCAAACACATTCCCAGCCCTGCTATTCTGAGGCAAGGTCTTAGGAAGATGCCTAGGCTGATCTCATTCTTAGCCCAGACAGGACTTGGAACTCCTAAACCTCCTGTTTCAGTCTCCCTAGTAGCCGAGATAGGCTTTCACCTGTACCCTTATGTGTATTTAAAACTTACAATAAAAAGTTTGGGTGTGTGGGGTGAGGCTACCACTCTGCAGTCTCTGTGTGAACTTTTGTTCAATGCTATAAAGCTATAACCACCAATACTTTTATGGTTCCCAATATGGAAAGGGAGGAGGATGGAGGTTAGGTGATTACTGGATATTTTCTGAAGCCCCAGGTCTTTGTTTTGTGGTTTTGTTTTTGGACACAGGGTCTCACTCTGTAGCCAGGTCAGCCTCAAACTTTAGCCAGCCTGTCTTCAAACTTGGCCTTAATCTCCGAGAGTACAGAGAGGTTTGAGCTGCCACTCAAGTGTCTTTCTTTCTTCCTTCCTTTTTTTTATTTTTTTGACACAGGTTTCTCTGTGTAGCTCTGGCTATAGTGGAGCTCACTATGTAGACCAGGCTGGCCTGGAACTCACAGAGATCCGCCTGCCTCTGCCTCCTGAGTGCTGGGATTAAAGGCATGTGCTACGGCTCACTTGGCCAAATTCAGCTTCCAAGCCAAACTTCTAATCACTCCGCAAAGCCTTCTTGGACCAACTCCCACCATTCTTGTACCTTCTTCAACGAGCTCATCGGTGAAATGTCCCACAAACCTGAATAAATCAGCTTGGCAATGAACTACATCAGAGTGGGACACAGAGAGACGTGGTACTGAGGAGTGGACATTCACCGTGTATCTGTAATGTGCCATACCAGCATCTAGGAATGTATGGTTGCTCCCAACATAAAGGCTATAAGCTTCTAATATCCTTGTAAGCTTTTCACTTCCCAGGAGCTAAGAAGTTACACAGCTCACTAGACTATAAAGCCCGACTCAGCACAGTACAAGTCGTCCATTTCACTACCAAAACAATCAACTTTAATATAAACTACCAAAAAAAAAAAAAAAAAAAAAAAAAAGTCATGCATGCACCATCCTGTCCATTCTCAGTAACTCAAGTAGAAGCTGTCCACATCAAAGACTGAACACACTTAAAACTGAGGATTACCCAATAACTGAGAGCTACAGCAACAGGGATGAAGAGATGTCAACATCACTGAGTACAAGTAGTGGTGTAGGTCCCCCCAAAGGACCTAAAAGCTTGCAGAGAAGGTTCCCGACCCACAACCCAGAGGCACAGGTAAAGTGAAGTGAACTAAGCCTTCTACACCTCTTTTCTCTCTCCTCAGCACCCCCCACCCCATTAATCTGTGTACCTCATCCATCTCCAGCAACTCCATCAAGAGTCGGGTGATGTGCTGGGTGTCACAGGGGTCCCAACAACGAGCAAGATGACCCTCTGCTGGCCAAAACGTTTAGAAGTGGCAAACAGGACAGGTGACATGCTGAGCAGCTAAAGTAGTTTGCCATCAAGTCTGATGACCTCAGGGCTCCCCATGGAAGAAAAAGAAAATGACTCTGGCACGTTGTTCTCTGACCTCCACATACACATGCATGTTTAACTTTAAAAAAACAAAACAAAACAAAAAAACAACAATAAACTCTGCAGTGCTAACAAGCCTGAGGACTGAACAGTGCCCATTTGCTTAAGGGCCCTGCCTTGAAAGAATTCCCTCTTTAACCTCTAAAGGTTAAAGGTCCCAAGGCAGGGAGTTAGGGGTGAGAAAGGGGAAGGTTGATGCTACACACACACTAGGTAAGAAAGTGACACCAATAACCCAACATGTGAGCTTCCAAATCCTAGAGAGATCGTAAATTCCAACCCTGACCTATGGCCCAGATGCCAAGTGAGGCCCTGCAGTGGGGCAGAAGGCAACTCCTGTTCTCTGGAGGTACACGTCTCCCCGAAACCGATTTCACTGACTTCGGAGAGCCATCGGACCTCTGGGCCTGTTGTCCTACCTGATGACCCAGTCAGTATTTTACCGTCCCAAGCAAGATCGCTCAACTAATATTAAGAGTTATCTTGCGCTGCCCACGATCACTCCTTGTACCACTCACAACCCGCACGGCTCCTGCGGTTGATAAACCCGATGGACATATCCACCTCCAGCTTTCGGGTGAACTGGAAGGGTTTTCTCCCATCCCCCTAACACCGGTGCCTCATACAGATCCTGCCTCACTCTTGGCAGCACGCCTCGATCAGCACACGCCAGCTCCCACTCTGCCCCACGTGTTGGAGAGACTTCCTTACCCCTAGCTATTAATCATTAAAAATAAAAAAGTTCTACCCCCTTGTGTATGGAAGTTATCCCTGACTCAGGACAATCCACTCCCAACTCGGAGGGCGTCCTGGCCACAAAGCTTTTCATCACTCAGGCTTGTGAGCTTCGGGGGGGGGGGGGGTCGTCCTACCATTCACGATTTTCAGCTAACAGCCCCCGGGTCCCCTAACACGACCCCGTAGTCAGTCTGGGTTCCCCCCAAGAACCCCAACCGCACCTCAGCCTCCTCCTCCGAATGGGACCCTCCCCTAAACACCGCGCCACAGCCGGAGACCCCGCGAGGGTCTCTGCAGGCCAGGGCTCACCGCCCACTCCGGAGCGGGAAAGGAGCTTCCGGCTCTCCGACCGCCCTGACCTTGCAGCTCCGCGGGATCCGCCGCCGAGCGTGGAGCGGACACTCACCTGGGTCCCCTTGCCAGCCCCGGGCGGCCCCAGCAACACGGCCCGGATACCCTTCCGACTCTCCGGTTCGGGAGCCAGCGCGCTGGGAGCCATGTCTGCCAAAGCCTCTCTCCAGCAGCCAGCACACCTCACCGGTGGCTCTAGCGCTTCCAGGCCAGAGCGCAGACTACTGCGGACTCGCACTGGCCGCTCGCCGCGTCCGTCAGCCCTCTACGCCCGCCCCCGAGCCTGACGGATGTTTGTGTTCACCAATCGTACGACGAACATGAGGGTCCCAGTTTCTGATTGGGCAGAATAGTTGAGGGAGCGAGGAAGAGGCGGGCCAGCCTGGGAAGAGTGAGGCAGAGAGCGCGTGCGGCTCTCGGCTGATGTGTGGAGTGGGCGGGAGGAAAGGAAGCCCCGAGCGGGAGGAAAGTTCTGGTTTGGCGTTTGACAGTTAATGACTCCAGAGGCTCTGTTTGAGCCCTGTGAAATTGCCTGTGGGAGAGTAAGTGGGGAAAATCACTCTTAGAAAACAAATTGGCAATAATGCATCTCGTACCCTTTGGGCCAGTAATTCTACTTCCAGGAATTCAAAAGACCTAACCCAGGAGTTTGTAATGATTTTCTAGCAAAGATGTTGATCGCCTTATTCTCAACACTGAGCTCAACACTGAAGAGTAAATAGCTCAAATGTCCAACAATAAGATTGGTTATATAAATTCCAACGAATTTGTATTCTGGGACCCTTCCCCTCTTTAACAGCACTGTTTAATCATAAGGGCAAATGCCCACCCATACAAAATTGCAGCAGTTACTCCGGGCAGTGGTGGCACAGGCCTTTAATCCCAGCACTCGGGAGGCAGAGGCAGGAGATCTCTGTGAGTGCGAGACTAGCGTGGTCTACAAGCGCTAGTTCCAGGACAGTCTCCAAAGCCACAAAGAAACCGTGTCTTGAAAAACAAAACAAACAAACAAACAAACAAACAAACAAAAAAACCAATAAACAAGACAAAACAAAACAAAAACAAAATTACAGCAGTTACAAGACAGCCCAGTTTCTCTTGACCCTTTCAAGTGCAGACCTCAGGAGTGTGTTTAGGGGACCATCTCCCCTAAAAGCTGTCCCTGTAAAAGGTTGTACAATGAATTCTACAATAACCTGGTGTGTAGACTTTAGCTATTTGGGAGGATCACACTTAAAGCTTGTCTAGGCTACATGGTAAATTCAAGTGCAGCCTGGGCAATTTAATAAGGCCTTGTCTCAAAATGAAAAAGAAGAGGGCTGGGGCTATAGTACACAGAGAGGAGTTTCTGGGCTCACCCCCAGGACTGCAATAACAACAACAACAACAATAATAATAATAAAAAAAGAAAACACACATATATATATGCATACTCAATCTCCCTGACTGAAGTCAGGAAAAAGTTTTAATCCAGAGAGATGAGTCTGTTTTCGACAAGGGAATGATGCCTCCAGCTTTTTGGTATGTCAAAGTTTCATCCTTGTCCCAAAGGACCCTTTCTCAACCTTTTGTGAAAATGTGATTAGGAAACCACTGCCTCCCCACAGGCACATAGCAACCACTTTCTATATCCTAGTGGTAAATTTACTGCCTCTTTAGCTACTTTAATTCATGGACGGCAACAGGCTGGCTAGATAGCTTGGCTAATAAAGACATTTGCCACCAAAGCCCAAGGACCAGCGTTTGAGTTCAAAGACCCTAAAAGTGGAAGGAGAGACCCAACTCTCATAGGTTGTCTTCTGACTTCCACATGTGTGCTGTGGCGCATGTAAGCCTTCATGTGGACACTTGCACACATACACACAAAATATAGTAAATTAATAAATCTAAAGAAAAAAAAAGAAGCTTCGTAGTGGTGGCCCACATCTTTAATTCTAGCATTCAGGAGGCAGAGGTAGGTGGATCTCTGTGAATTTGAGGCCAGCCTGGTCCACAAAGCCAGTTCCAGGACAGCCAGGCTACACAGTGAAACCCTGTCTCAACCACTACCACCATCATGCCCCAAACAAAGAAAAGAAAAAAAAGAGAGAGAGAGAGAGAGAGAGAGAGAGAGAGAGAGAGAGATGCTAGCATTCATCCTTCTTGCTCATCATGGGCTTTCATGGGAGTCCATTTTATCTTGTTGGATTTTCTTAGTGGCCTTGAAAGAAGCAGTGGTTATTGCATCATTTTTAAGCAAGGAAGATGAAATCAGGAGACACATAGTGTCAGCTCAAAGTTACATAATCACAGAATTACAAGTAAGACTGTGAATCCGGTGGGGCTCAGTCAATAATGGGCACCACTCAAGCAGGAGGTTCCCAGCATTTGTCTGTAATCCCAAGGCTGAGGAGGTAGAAACAGGCAGATTCTTAGAGCTTACTGACCAGAGAGCCTAGCCTAATCAGTGAGCTCCAGATTCAGTGGAAGACCTTGTTTCAAATGATAAGGTGGAGGGGCTGGAGAGATGACTCAGGGCTTAAAAACACTTGCTTTTGCAGAGGACTTGGGTTTGGCTCCCAACACCCATATAGTAACTCACAGCCATCTGTACCTCCAGTTCATAGGATCTGATGCTCTTCTCTGACTTCTAACAGCACCAGGTACACACATAGTGCATATGCATACATACATGCATACAAAATGCTCACACTTATAAACTAAAATAAATAAATCAAAAACCAAAACACGGAGAGAAATAGAGGAAGACAGCTGACGTCAGCCTCTGGTCTCCCTACCAATACACATACACATACATACTTACATTCATGTTCACACACATACATACATACACAGAGGGGGGGTGCTGAGAGAATGGAAGCCAGGTGTGGTGATGCAGACCTGAGATTCTAGCATTTGGGAAGTGGAGGCAGAAATTCAAGGCCATTTGAGCCACATAGCAAACTCAAGCCCAGCCTGGCCTACATGACACCCTATCTCAACAACAACAGACAAGCCAGCAAACAAATAAAAGGCTGGGGGTAAGCAGGTGGTAACCCAGAAGGCACAGGACTTGTGGGAGCAAGCACATTTTCCCTGGGGGAAGCTTCTATATAGCCAGAATTCCTTTTCATTATTCCTTTTCACTGCTGATGAGGAATCCCTGTTATAATTCTGACCAGGTAAGGGCTCCCCTAACCCCAGTAGGGAAAGCAACTAAGACCACTATAAATAATACAAAATGTAAAGTTTGTTTGTTTAAGTTTTTTGAGACAGGGTTTCCTGGCTTTCCTGGAACTTGCTTTGCAGAGCAGACTGGCCTTGAACTATTTATTTTCTATTTTATTGTTTGTTTGTCTGTCTGTCTATCTTGAGACTGTGTCTCATGTGTCCCAGGCTGGCTTTTAGCTTGCTATGTAGCTAAGGTTGATCTTGAACTCTTGATCCTCCTGCCTTTACCTCTAGAATGCTGGGGCTACTGGCTTGTACTGCCTGGTTTTATGCAGTGCTGGGGTTTGAACCCAGCTCTATTATAAAATAATCTAGTCTTTGAGGCATAATAAGAACCATAAGAAAAAGCCCAAGAGAAGAAAGCAGTGTCTTATTCATGTAGTTACTCAACTATTAATTTTTAACAATAATTGCTATTACTGTGGGCCATTCAGTAGGCTAAGCAATTTGTGTGTATTATCTCATTCAGTTCTCACAACCACCTATGCATGCAGTAGCTACTTTATTATCAGAATATTTTAGATAAGACACAGGGAAGCTAAGTACTGTACCATGGCCACAGTCACATGACTGACCTGTGGCTGAGCAGAGTTGAGTCATGGTCTGTCTGCTTGGTGCCAGGTAACAGACGTGGCGCTCACAGTGCAGCTAGTTCCAGCTAGAGTGATAACGGAGTCTGTGAAACAGAAAGACCTTGAAGAATGGAGAAGACTTGGTTTTGGGGCAGGAGACATTTCAGACTTCAAGAAGACTGGGAGGAAAGTCCCAGGAGCAGGAGAGAAGGACTTTTATTCAGCGAGCTTTGGAGAACTGGATTTTCTAGGGGCAGTAATGATCAGGTTCATGTTAAAAGATCACTTACAGGGCTAGAGTGGAGAGAGCGTAGGCAGAAATACTAGCCTTAGTTTTTGTCAGTATGACACAAACTAGAGTCATCTTGCAGCAGGCCCCCAGACCTTAGCACAACTGACTCCATGATGGGCATAAAACTCAGAACATAGACAGCACCACCAGTTAAAATAAAAAATACCTACACAGTCTCTAGTTTTGGGAGAGTCTCAAAATGTACTAATCTTGCATTTTGGTTTCTGTAGTTCTGGTTCTACCTAAGTGTTCTTGTTAACTGAAGTATATCAACCCAGGACACGGTTTTTGTGGTTAAAAGCTCACCCTCAGAAAGGCTTGGAGATACACTGGGATCCCCAGCTGGCTAATAAAGACTTTCTATTGGCTAGCATTCTTCTCTGGTGGATACTCCACATTTCAGGAAGAGAGAACCTCAGCTGAGGAATTGCTTACATTTGATTGGCTTGTGGGCATGTCTATGGAGGCATTTTCTTAACTGCTAATTACTACAGGTGGACCCAATCTATTGTGGTGGTGCTACACCACAGGTGGGCTGGGATGTATAAGAAAGGTGGCTGAGCAAGCGCAGAGGAGCAAGCCGGTAAGCAGCCCCCATCCCTCTGCAGTCTCTGATTCAGTTCCTGCCTCTAGGTTCCTGCCTCAGTTTCTACCCTGCCTTCCCTCGGTGGAAGACTGCAAGTTGTTGGAAGAGACAGACCCTTTCCTCCTCAACTTGCTTTTGGTCACTATTTTTATCACAACATCAAAGAAGCAAATATAGAATGGCTACTCAAAGCAGTCCACGCCCCAATCCCCAGCACCTGGGTTAGGCTTGACTTCTGCTTCATAATACCCTTTGAACTTCCGACCTTCAAAACTGTAACACAAGGGGTTGTGTTGTACCCCTAGAACCATATAAACCAGTATAGTGAGGCTCATCTCTGATCCCAGAACTGGTTAGCAGAAAAAAACAAAACAAAACCAAAAAAAGTGTGTGTGTGTGTGCGCGCGCGCGCATGCGCGCGCGCACACCTCCCCCCCAAGAGAGAGCCTATAACATAATAAATCTGTGTTATTCCACAAGCCACTCCATTTATGACAGCTGTTACATCAACAATAAGAAAGGAAGGCATACAATTTCTGAGAATGTGAGTGGTAGAAACAGATTCTGGCCATAT